TTTATATCACCCAGAAAATGTAGTACACACATATCATGACTACATAAAATTAGCATACGCATTTAGGGTTGTTGTATAAACTCTAAGAAACGTTGATGGAAACTATATCTCTTTAAGTACAAAAATCAGTGCAGCATGAGCTCAGCATGCAAGAGACCTGCAGGAATAGAGGCCAGCTGAGGGAATGGCAGAACCACAGTTGTCCTCTCCCATGTGTAGTTGAATTTGAATGAATTCTGTATCACATATAGCACGCTTCAACACATGCACAAAGGGATTGTTCAAATCATGAATGTTTCATTATCCTGCACATAATTGCATCACTATATAAAGAAGCTTAAAGTGCTATGACAAAGGTATAACTGTTAACAGAAAGTTGAGCCCTTCTAATTATTAATATAAAATCTATCCATTTGTAGCCAACTTTACAGATGTAGAGAAGACAAGTTCTTAGCAGGCCAGCACTGTATTTGTCTGAGTTATCTGATAAATTAGCTAGCATAGTCCCATGCATGTGGATACATGTGGGTAATTGCCCTTGCATCTTAGTGCATTATTTCATGGTCTGCATGACCCTAGGCCTCAAAACTGTAGCCTGACAGCAGTGACAGGGAAGTTTAAGTTGTGCAGTAGATCACAACTTGATCCTAGTCAAATGGGCAAAGCACATACGCAAAATATTCTTCTGGGTATCGTTGGAGACTATAATTGATTATGACACCATCCTTGACCTCAAGGAATTTACAGTCTTGTGGGGTAAAAGGGCCCATGCACAAATAAAAATAAACACAGTGCGTTCTTTGGGGAGCCAAAGGAAGAAAAGGCCACATGTTGCTGGGGAAGCAAATCAAGAAATACTTAATAAGGAAGGTAGTTCTACCATTAAATGCACTGGAAAGAAAACGTGAAGAAGACGATGATGATGATGATGACTATGATAATTTGTAATCTAGCCTTGATGCATGTAACATGTATACTTGGTCTTGAATCCACTGTACTGAAATTAATGTGTATTTTGGATGTTTTCAAGTTGTGTCTTAGAAAACATAATTAGTATTTAACGAGTAAATATAGTTACTATAACTTCCAATTGAAAAAAAAAAGCACATGCACGTGCGAGAGAGAGAGAAAGTGGTTCTTGAGGAGTGTCATGGATTGAATTGTGTAGCTCCAAAATATGTGCCGACTTGGCTAGGCCATGATTCCCAGTACTGTGTGACTGTCTGCCATTTTGTCATCTGGTGTGATTTTCCTATGTGTTGTAAATCCTGTCTCTATGACGTTAATGAGGTGGGATTAGCGGTAGTTATGTTAATGAGGCAGGATTCAATCTATAAGATTAGATTGTGTTTTAAGTCAATCTCTTTGGAGATATAAGAGAGAAGTGAGCAGAGAGACATGGGGACCTCCTACCACGAAGAAAGTATAGCCAGGAGCGCATATCCTTTGGACCCGAAGTCCGTGTGCTGAGAAGCTCCTAGACCAGGAGGAGATAGTTGGCAAGGACCTTCCTCTAGAGCCAACAGAGACAGAAAGCCTTCCCCTGGAGCTGACGCCCTGAGTTTGGACTTCTAGCCTCCTAGACTATGAGAGAATAAATTTCTCTTTGTTAAAGTTATACACTTGTGGTATTTCTGTTATAACAGCGCTAGATAACTAAGACAAGAAGGGATAAAACTGGGGAAGACTTCATGAACAAAGGCGCCCAGGTGTGAAAGCACAGAGGGCTTCCAAGGAACAGAGGGCTCCAGCACTGACTCATTGACTGCACCTCCACCAGTGCCCTCCTCACTTTTCATTCTCTGCACCTTTGCTCACCCTGCATCTTCTCACAGGATGTGTCCCCGAAAACATCAATCGTGTTCACTCCTCTTCACCTTTCCTCCCACCAGTCCCTCAGTATGGGATGCCATTTCCTCCTGCCAACTTGGATAAATCCTACTCATTGTTCAGGTTCCATTTTAAATTCCTTCTCCTTTCTATAGCTTCCCATCACCTAATCCATGGTGTTATAGTTAGTTGGTCATACATCTGTCATCCCAAACTGTGTAAGCTCCTTAAGGAGGAGATTGTACCTCTTTCATCTCTTTCCCCCAGCCAATAGCATAGTGCCTGGCAGGCACTTAGATGCTATAAACGTTTTTTGAATTATATTATCGGAGAGGGAGTAGTGTCTTTCGGATGGACTCTAGATTAAAACGTAAGGTTAAAGAAGAATAGGCCAGTGAGATTTGCCTTTCTTTCTGCCCCTACACACCTGAGGTTTATAACATCTCTACTTCATTAATAAACATATATGTAGTGCTTTGGAGCACTGGTGGCACAGTAGTTGTCTTAGTCATCTAGTGCTGCTACAACAGAAATACCACAAGTGGATGGCTTCAACAAAGAGAAATTTATTTCTTCACAGTAAAGTAGGCTAAAAGTCCAAATTCAGGGCATCAGCTCCAGGGGAAGGCTTTCTCTCTCTGTCGGCCTTCTCATCAATGTTCCCCCGGACTAGGAACTTCTCCGTGCAGGGACCCCAGGTCCAAAAGACATGCTCTGCTCTGTTCCTGGCATTGCTTTCTTGGTGGTATGAGGTCCCCCTGTCTCTCTGCTCACTTCTCTCTTTTATGTCTCAAGAGATTGCCTCAGGACACAATCCAATCTTGTAGATTGAGTCCTGTCTTACTAACACAACTGCCACCCATCCTCCCTCATTAACATCATAGAGGCAGGATTTACTACTAGGAAAATCACACAATACGGGGAATCATGGCCCAGCCAAATTGATATGCACATTTTTGGGGGGACATAATTCAATCCATGACAGTGGTTAAGAGCTTGGCTGCAAACCAAAAGGTCAAAGCCACCAGTCACTCCTTGAAAACCCTATGGGGCAGTTCTACTCTTTCCTATAGGGTTGCTATGAGTCAGAATCCATTTGACGGCCATGGGAAGTGCTGTGTGCCAGGCACTGTTCTGAGCTCTTTACAAATATTTAAACACTTTCCCATCAATGCCAGTGGAGCACTATGGCTGCATTTCTCAATGGCTAGTAGGGGAGAGGAGTACATCCCTTTCCACCTGGGGAGGGAGCTGGGGTTTTAAAGTCCATACAGTTGGGGAAAAAAACACCCACAAAAGATATGCCTCGTCCCTCCGGTGCAAAATGCAGGGGAAGATGATGATGAATAACAAGAGTAACAATAACAACAGTAAAATAATAGCTACCATTAATCGAGTCCTTACTGTACATAGGCAAGTGCCAGGCACACAAAAAGCAGTATCTTTCATTTCATTCCCGTAGCAACCTTAAGAGTATTATTTTATTCCCTTTATTTTACAGAAGAGGAAACCAGGTTCAGAAAGGGTAAGCCATCTGACCGGCTACAAGGAGAATCAGGATTCAGATCCAGAGCTGCCCGATTCCAGAGCTGAGCTTTCTCCACTCTGCACACTGCCTGCAGAGTAGACTGGGGGCACTTGGCTGGGGTCTGAATGACAGACTGAGCTGGTTCCCAACACCGGTGACCAATGAGGAGCAATAAGTTAAATTTTTTTTAGAAGAGAAGGTAGCTGGGATGGTCAATAGCCTTAATAATATGTGCAATAACAACAGCCCTCATTTATTTAGATCCACCTACATGCTAGGCATTAAGCTTGGTACTTAGAAGAATTCTGATAAGCAGATGTTTTTATATTTTATTTTATGGGCAGTGAAACTGAAGTCCAGGAAGGCTGAGAGACTTGCCCAAGGCTCAAGTAAATGGCAGAACTGGAGTGGCCAACCTGGGAAGCTCCCGATTCCGTGCAGGGCCCCAGTCCCTCCACTCTGCTTTAAGGGTAGTGGGGAGAGTATCAACCTCTACACCCACATGCACACATGGCCAGTGGCACATGTCGGCCTCTATGCTCTGATGGTCTTATTACGGTCTTTACCAAGATTCATCCTGAAGTATTAGCACAGAGCAGCTTTTGCCCTAGTATGTTTCAAGGATCCTTAGTTTCCCAAGAGGTACTACAGAAAAAGAGTTCTGTGGGCAGAAAAGTTTGGGAGGTGCTGCGTGTTATCTCCCCCTGCTTTGCAGATTTACTGTGCACATCAGCAGGTTCGAGAGGTTCTGAGAAGGTCTGTAGTAAAGCAATCTGTCCTAACCTACCCCAATCTATTTGAACCACAGAACTGCTTTTCTACATGTGTCTGTTGATAGGCTGTGCAGCACCCTTCAAGAGATACTGAAGCATAGGGCTGGACAAGGAGAAAGCGACGCAGGCTGGAGCTACTTTTGGAAAGAGTAACTAAGCACCAGTTCAGACTTATTTTTCCTAAGAATTGTCCTTTGTTGTTCACAGTTAGTTTACTTTCTTCACTTTGAGAAAATAAACAGTTTTTAGAAACCAGAGGCAATAAATCAGACATGGTAATTCCCAAATTCTCTTGCCTCATCCTGCACCCCATTCCATTCTCCAAGCTCCCCTCTTTGGGTCTGCTCCCCAGCTGGGGCTGACACACACAGCTGGAGGACTGGAGGTGATCACAACTTGCAGTGCACCACTGCACACCCACACTTCACACTGCAGAGGTGGTAACAGGGAGACATCAGACACTTTGCCCATAGTAGAGCCATGGCTGAGAGATTCCAGAGAAACACAGGAAGTTATCTGATGTAACAATCTCTCTGCCTTTGCATTAGGCAGGAGTATTCTGAAAATACTCCCAAGGGGAGGGTGGGGGAAGACTTCCAATATGTCCCTTAAAATCTCCAGATTATGCTGTGATTTTTCCCTTTCTGCCCATCTTCAGTTTTTACTTTTCTACAATGAATATGCAGCACATGCGTGGTCTATAAAAAAGAAGGAAGTAAAATCCCCAGGAGTGACTGCATAAGTTGCCAACAGCTTCCGGTACAAGTTCTGACCTATAGCGTTACTATTTGCAGTAAAGCTCACATTCCCAGTGACCCCTTAACCAAACCAGTGCTGAGGCATCGGCACAGCGGACGCCTTCTCCTTACCCACTCGAAAGATCAGATCGTCTTCGATGGGATTCTCTTTTCGTTTCCCAGTGCTGTACATACTGGCGGGTCTCTTCACAGCCTTTTGCTTTACATGGCCGCTCCCCGGGGACTTCACGCGCCTCTTCACACCTTCAGTGGTGGGAGACACATCAGCCGAGCGGATCACTTTCAGTTTAAAGGGGCTGCCTCGGATGTGCTGGTCATAGAGTCTCAGAGAGAGGGTGAAGTCCCCTTCCTTCTGGACAGTATACAGAAATTCATAGGTGCCGTTCTTGTTGTCTAGTATCTCTCCGTCTGCCACGCTCCCATCGGGGGTGCTCAGTTCCGCGGTGATGTAGGCGTTGCCGGTCTTGCAGAGCTCCCCGTCTTTGTCCTTGGTTGTTATGGTGACGGACATGGGCTGCCCGATGATGGTCTGCCGCAGCCCCTCGCCTGTGGCCACCGTCTCAGAGGCAACAGCGTTGGTAGTTAAAATCGTCCCGAGGTTGTGGATGGACTTCTTCAGCCCCTCGGTTTCCACGATGAAGTCCAGCTGATCGTTTTCCCGAGGGTGCAACGGGAAATCCTGGTCAGCAAGTTCGTTCAGCTTCTCGCTCATCTGCTTCTTGACCAGCAGCACCTCGGTCTCGGTGCCATGATTTAGGGCCTGAGCCGTGAAGTTGCTGCAGCTCTTAATACTCTCCTGCCCCTCGAGCAGAGTATCCAGCTGCGACTGAAGGACCTGCCGGAAAAACCGGATGCCCGGTGAGTGTGGCGGGGTGTGGTGCCAGGCTGCAACGCTCTCCCCACGGGGCACCAGGTGAGCCTATTAGACACTGGGACGGCTGAAAGTTCTAGACCTGCCCACTGGGTTGGCACTAAGTGAGTGGTATTTACTTTAACCCAGTGAACCCGGTTCTAATAATGCAAAACCTACACTGCATTCCCAGTTATTTTCTTTTTTCCCTTCCGCCACGCCTGGTCTCCCCCACACGCATATTTCTTCGGTCATGTGTTTTGATAAGGGCAAGTAGAAACGTCACTACCAAGAGCGTAGGAAACAAATTGATGTGCTTGACATCTAAAATATTTAGTATCCAATATCTTTACTTTGTGTCCAAACCTCCTCTACAGCATACCACGGAAAGGAACAGGAACCCACAAATAAAAACTCTCCACACCCGACTGTCAGAAGCTTTTCATCCCGGGTTTTGTGACATGCAGAGTAAAAGGCTGCAGTCTGGGTTCACTTTGAAGTTGACTAACTGGTTGGTGTGGGTGAGAGCACAATTAAGACACTATTAGACATTATAATTAAGGAAGGAAAACAATCCAGTTTAACCCTAAATCCTCAGAGCATTACTCTATAGTCAACCTGATCTTTTGTCAAATTAGACAATCACTCATTATAAATTGGTTCTTAAGGTCACAGAACCATAGAGCTTTGCTGAAAACAGAAAGGAAAAAAATAGCTGGATATTCCATTAAATAAAAACTACAGTTTACTATCTAATTGTGAATTGTGACACTTGAGAACCCATTTGAGTCCCCTTTGCTGCTATTAACAACAACAAAAAAAACCAAACCCATTGCCATCGAGTCGATTCCGACTCGTAGCGACCCTATAGGACAGAGTAGAACGGCTCCACAGGGTTTCTAAGGAGTGACTGGTGGATTTGAACTGCCGACCTTTTAGTCAGCAGCCGAGTTCTGAACCACTGTGCCACTGATGCTGCTGTTAGAAGCCAGTAAGCTAGTGCCATGAAGCATCACTGGCTATCACTGGTCTCTTACATCGTCTCTGTGACAATGACTGAAATCTTACTTTATGTTTGAGGCCATAGTTGACCTCCAGTTCCATAAGCAGCACACTCTTTCGCACGTTTAATGTCTTCTGGAGCTCATCAAAAGTGGAATGAATATCATCCACAATGCTGGCCTTTTGGTTGGTTAGCTGATGAATGATTTCCGAGATGAACTGAAGAGCTGAATCAATTTCTGGGAGCCTGGGGGACAGTTATTAAAGGTCATTATTTAAACATCAACCCTGAAATATTCAAAGATCTGTCAAAACACTAGGTTTTCTCAAAAACATTTACTATGCTTTTCATCATTTAAAAAATTAATAGCTGAAGAATAGAATGAATAAGACAACATAATTACTACCTTTGAAAGAAGAAAATCTGAGGGTCCATATCTATTTCAATCCATTTTTAATAATTGATGGTACGAAGCCTTGAGGGGCTCTGGTAAGCCATGGCTTTTCATCACACTTTAAATCAGGATTTCCTCAAACTTAGCACTATTGACATTTTGGGCCATTAGCTGGGGGCACTTCCTGTGCACTGTAGGATGTTTAACAGCATCCTGGCCTCTACTAGATGCCAGTAGCAACCCCCCCCCGCCCCCCCACAGCTGTGATAATCAAAAATTTCTCCAGACATTGCCAAATGCTGCTTGGGGGGCAAAATCTCCCATGGTTGAGAACCACTAAATATATAACTGTATCTTTTTTCCCAACCACATGAAAAACTTATCCAAACTGAGAGTATCCTGGGAACTTCTTCCAAGTTTCACAGTTCTTTTATTTAGTAGAATAACGACACTTCTCTCACTACAACTATCAGTGAAGAGATTTATTGGTTCTGCTTTTCAGTTATGTTATTTCCTCTTTGATCTTTCTCATGTACACACAGCGATGCTGTTCCTTCACTTCCATGCCAAAGAAAGAGCCTAGAAGCAGGAGAACATGAGGGGAGTTGAGCAGTCACTGCTCGGTACCATTTTTCCTGGCTCGGAGGGGACCCAGTCACAGCCCACATAATGTGCCTGTCAGTGTTCAAGAACAGCAGCTAAGGAAGGGCTCTTCAGAGACCCTGGTTCGGGGCATGAATTTCAGAGACCTCCTGAGAGCATGTTCCTTGAATGTACTTTATTCCTTTAATCAAGTAAGGTACTAAAACAAAAATGCCACCACTCATAACACAAGAAGTTTGGACTTTAACCAAGGAGTAGGGGACAACTTTCAACACTCATGAATTTATGACTACAGACCCACAACAAAAGCAGAACCTATTTATGGCATGGAGACTTATTCCTTGAACGGTAACATGAACCTACTAACCCACTGGGACGAAAGACCATGAGGCCAAGCGACAGGACAAGTGGCCAGTAGGGAGTCCGGGGAAAGGAGGGTCTGGGGGAGGTGAGCCCGGTGGAGGTGTGCCTCACCTTTTGTTGACAGCATCCAGCTGGACCTGGAGTGAGGCCTTGTGCTGCTCCACCACGTCCTTGAGCGGAACGGTGGGGTGTTCCGCGTGCTCCCCCTCGGTGCACTCACGACACATGGCGGTCTCACAGGCCTGGCAGTAAAATTCCATCACCTGTGGGTAACAAGAAAAAATCCAGGATTGGGTCCACTGATGGAGTGCTTACTATGCACAAGGTACTCTACTTGCTGAATCACCTCATTTAATTCTCATGGCCACTCCAGGACGTTTGAATTATTATGTCCAGTTTCACAGGAATAAATGAAGGATAAATTGTGAACAGCATATGATGTTTATGTGACAGGTCTCAAACAGAGGTGTTAACAACAAAGCTGCCCCCATAGGCAGCTCTTCTGTGGCCATTCCCATATAGCAAAATAATGTAGGCAGCAGTTCTCGACATTTTTGGTCTCAGGACCCCTTAACACTCTTTAGAAATCATTGAGAACCACCAAAGAGCTTTTGTTTATGTGGGTTATATCTATAGATATTTATCATATTAAAATTAAATCTGAGAAAAATTTTAAATATTTATTACTGTATTAAAAACCACCAGTAGTCTGTCAGTTTGTAATACTGTGGTGGCTTGCGTGTTGCTGTGATGCTGGAAGCTATGCCACTGGTATTTCAAATAACAGCAGGGTCATCCATGGTGGACAGGTTTTAGTGGAGCTTCTGGACTAAGACAGACTAGGAAGAAGGACCTGGCAGTCTATTTCTGAAAAAACTGGCCAGTGAAAACCTTATGAATAGCGGTGGAACATTGTCTGATATAGTGCTGGAAGACGAGCCCCTCAGGTTGGAAAGTACTCAAAATATGACTGAGGAAGAGCTGCTTCCTCAAAGTAGTGTTGGCCTTAATGATGTTTATGGAGTAAAGCTTTCAAGACCTTGGTTTGCTGATGTGGCATGACTCAAAATGAAAATAATAGCTGCAAACATTCATTAATAATCAGAGTGTGGAATGTATGAAGTATAAATCTAGGAAAATTGGAAATCATCAAAAATGAAATGAAATGCATAAAGATTGATATCCTAGGCATTAGTGAGCTGAAATGGATTGATACTGGCCATTCTGAATCAGACAATCATATAGTCTACTATGCTGGGCATGACAAATTAAAGAGGAATGGTGTCGCGTTCATTGTCAAAAAGAATATCGCAAGATCTACCCTGAAGAACAACGCTGTCAGTGATAGGATAATATCTATATGCCTACAGAAACCAAACCCACTGCCATCGAGTTGATGCAGACTCATAGTGACCCTAGAGAACAGAGTAGAACTGCCCCATAAGGTTTCCAAGGAGTGGCTGGTGGATTCGAACTGCTGACCGTTTGGTTAGTAGCCAAGCTCTTAACCACTGGATCACCAGGGCTCCGTGCCTACAAGGAAGACCAATTAATACAACTATTATTCAAATTTATGCACCAACCATGAAGGCCAAAGAGGAAGAAATTGAAGATTTTTACCAACTTCTGCAGTCTGCAATCGATCAAACATGCAATCAAGATGCACTGATAATTACTGGTGATCGGAATGCGAAAGTTGGAAACAAGAAGCATCAGTAGTTGGAAAACATGACCTTGGTGATAGAAATGACACTGGAGATGGCATGACAAAATTTTGCAAGACCAACCACTTATTCATTGCAAATACTTTTTTTCAATAACATAAGCGGTGACTACACACGTGGACCTTTCCAGATGGAATAGACAGGAATCAAATCAACTACATCTGTGGAAAGAGACGATGGAGAAACTCAATATCATCAGTCAGAAGAAGGCCGGGGCCAACTGCGGAACAGACCATCAACTGCACATATGCAACTTCGAGTTGAAGCTGAGGAGAATTAAAACAAGTCCACAAGAGCCGAAGTATAACCGTGAGTATATCCCATCTGAATTCAGAGACTATCTCAAGAGTAGATTTGATGCATTAAACACCAACAACCAAAGATGAGATGAGTTGTGGGATGACATCAAGGACATCACAAAGCAAAAGGCCATTAAAAAGAGAGGAAAGAAAGAAAAGACCAAAATGGAAGCTAGAAGAGAGTCTGAAAGTTGTTCTTGAATGTAGAATAACATAAATGGAACGTAAAAATGTAAATGGAAGAAATGATGAAGTAAAAGCTGAACAAAAGATTTCAAAGGGCGGCTCAAGAAGACAAAGTAAATATCATAATGAAATGTGCAAAGACCTGGAGCTAGAAAACCAATAGGGGAAACCATGCTTGGTACTTCTCAAGCTGAGAGAACTGGAGAAAAAATTCAATCCTCGAGTTGCAATATTGAAGGATTCTACCCGGAAAATACTGAATGACTCAGGAAGCATCAAAAGAAGATGGAAGGAATACACCGAGTCACTGTACCAAAAAGAACTGGTTGACATTCAACCATTTCAGGAAGCAGCATATGATCAAGAACTGATGGTACTGAAGGAAGAAGTCCAAGCTACACTAAGAGCATTGGCGACAAACAAGGCTCCAGGAATTATGGAATACCAATTGAGATGCTTCAACAAACGATGCAGCACTGGAAGTGCTGACTCATCTATGCTAAGAAATTTGGAAGACAGCTACCTGGCCAACTGACTGAAAGAGTCCCGTATTTCTGCCCATTCCAAAGAAACGCAATCCAACAGAATGCAGAAATTATCAAACACTATCATCACCCACAAGTAAAATTTTGCTGAGATGATTCAAAAGTGGTGGCAGCAGTACATCGACAGGAAACTGCCAGAAATTCAAGCTGGATTCAGAAGAGGACGTGGAACCAGGGATATCATTGCTGATGTCAGATGGATCCTGGCTGAAAGCAGAGAATACAAGAAAGGTATTTACCTGTACTTTATTGACTATGCAAAGGCATTCGACTGTGTGGATCATAACAAAGTATGAACACTGTGAAGAATGGGCATTCCAGAACACTTAATTGTGCTCATGAGGAACCAGTACACAGACCAAGAAGCTGTCGTTCAAACAGAAAAAGGGGATACTCCACGGTTTAAAATCAGGAAAGGTGTGCATCAGGGTTGTATCTTTTCACCATACTTACTCAGTCTGTTTGCTGAGCAAATAATCCAAGAAACTGGACTATAGGAAGAAGAACATGGCATCAGGATTGAAGGAAGACTCATTAACAACCTGCAATATGCAGATGACACAACCTTCCTTGCTGAAAGTGAAGAGAACTTGAAGCACTTACTGATGAAGATCAAAGACTACAGCCTTCAGTATGGATTACACCTCAGTATAAAGAAAACAAAAATCCTCACAACTGGACCAATAAGTGACATCATGATAAATGAAGAAAAGATTGAAGTTGTCAAGGATTTCATTTTACCAGCACACATGGAAGCAGCAGTCAAGAAATCAAAGGATGAACTGCATTGGGCAAGTCTGTTGCAAAAGACCTCTTTAAAATGTTAAAAAGCAAAGATGTCACTTTGAGGATTAAGGTACGTTTGAACTACTGAATATACCATGGACTGCCAGAAGAACGAACAAATCTGTCTTGGAAGAAGTACAGCCAGGATGCTCCTTAGATCTCACATAACTTGGATATTTATCAGGAGAAACCAATCCCTGGAGAAGGACATCATGCTTGGTAAAGTAGAGGGTCAGCAAAAGTGAGGAAGACTCTGAATGAGATGGATTGACACAGTGGTTGCGAGGATGGGCTCAAACATAACAACAATTGTGAGGATGGTGCAGGACCGGGCAGAGTTTTATTCTATTGTACATAGGGTTGCTATGAGTCGGAACCAACTCGACAGCACCTAACAACAATAACAACATTAAAAACAATAACAAATCCATCATGTGTTAACATAAATAATATATTTTTATGAAAAAACTATATTCTGCAAAAAAAAAAAAAATTACTGAAAAGAATGGCATAGTTTTCCATTTCTGTGTATCTCTTCAGGGTCCAGCTTAATAGAAGACATCTGGATTCTCATATCTGCTTCTGCATTAAATCTTTTATCACATGTAGCTCTGGAAAATTCCACTGTACACTCTTGAGAGAATGAAAGAAAGCAACAAATAATGTCTTAGAATTATTATGAAACTAGTTTTGACCTCGTGGACCCCTTGTAAGTCTCCTGGGGACCCAAGGCTGGCCCTGGATCACATTTCAAGAACTGTTGATGTACAGAAAAGAGAGGAGCCAGACTGCAGCTGTTTGCATCCTGGCTCCATCCCTTATTTCACTGTGTGTCCTTAGGCAGATTACTTTGCCTCTCTGTGTCTCAATTTCTGTCTGTTAAATAGAGACAAAAATAGTAACCTACTTCCTAGGGCGAGGAGGATTAACTCATTACTGTCAAGTCAATTCCGACTCATAGCGACCCTGTAAGACAGAGCAGAACTGCCCCATAGGGTTTCCAAGGCACAGCTGGTGGGTTTGAACTGCCAACCTTTTGGATAGCAGCTGAACTCTCAACCACTGTGCCACTAGGGCTCTGTTGTGAGGATTAAGTAGATTAATATGCACAAAGAACTTAGATGATACTGGCATATTGTAAGTCCTTAATAAGTAGTAGCTGCTGTCACGATCATCTGCTTGCCTAAAAAAATACCCAAAAAACCATATTATGCTGATTATGATGAACTCTCAGTAATAATATCACATGAAACCTGAAAGTTAGTTTCCTTGTGGAGGCATCCCCTAATTCTCACAGCTGGAAGTAACATCTAGTTGTCCAAGCACCATTTGTTGAAGAGACTATTTTTCCCGCACTGAATGAACTTGACACCCATGTCAAAAATCAATTAAACACAGATGTACAGGTTTATTTCTAGACTTTCAATTCTATTCCTCTTGATTTTGTGCCTATACTTAGCCAGTACCACAATGTTTTGATTACTGTAGCTTTGTAGTGAGTGTGAAATTGGGAAGTGCAAGGATCTAAATGTAAGAGCTCTTAGAAGAAAATATAGGGGTAGATCTTCATGACCTGGATTTGTGGTTTCTTAGATATGATACCAAAAGCACAAGCAACATTAAAAAAAAAAAAAAAGAGATAAATTGGACATCATCAAAATTAAAAACTTCTGTGCATCAAAGGCCACTATCAAGAAAGTGGAAAGCAATAGCAAAAAAATGG